AATAAAAATTTTATCGTTCTCAAAGTATAAGAACAATACGTATTTGTTAGTTTTGAATGGGGACTACCAAAGTGTGCATCGTTAAAATACGAAAGCGAAAATTACATAGAAGAAACGGTATAGTACACAATATAATAAGAATAATTTTTATATTGGCAGTCTTCTGTCTTGAAGTATTTTCTGCTTCAACAATATTAGAAGACGCTATGGGTCATGTCTCTTGTCTACTCAACCACAACATTTGGGTTCAAATCAAGTGCATACCTATGTATATACATATATATTCTATATAAATTATATTGATTGGATATAGGACCCAAGGGTGTTCGTCAGCGGTTCCATCGCGACTGCACTTGGCGACCGATATAATTAATTTCGGAGGGTWGAAGCGCGTCTGTACCGGAGACAGAAAGGCCAACTTCTTACGGGACACGACCGCTTTGAAAATAAATTCCCAAGCGCGCTTAAAGCGTGTTGATTTAGATGTACATTACGTATAGTGTGTTTCTCACGACGCGTTAAAATAACACAACGATATGGTGGCTTTAAGATAAAACTAAAAATACGTTTTCGCACGCACACTCACGCATGAATGCACATGCCCACTCACATACATATACTTTTGGTGTGTGTGTGCATACGGAAAATTCAACGTTCCTCGGGGCTGAAAGGTTTTCCGTGGGTAATTCGATGAGTATGACGAATGATACGCATACGTCGCTCGAAATACATTTATTTCCCTACAGTCATTTCCTATGGTAATTTTTTATACCGGTGTGATACATTTTCAGTTTTTCATTAAACGCGTTGAGATGGATCYGAAAGTCGTCGGGCTTCATTTTATATCTACACCTTATTCACATTCATGTATACCGTTTTTATATAAAAAAAAAAAAWWAAAATAAAAATAAGCTATACCCATCTGTATAGTTAATTTTAAAATTGCGACAATACAAAAAACAAAAAAATCTGTAAATAGCACAATTATACTAAATAGTATACATTTCACACAACTAAACGTAACTGAAGCAACAGTAACTACATACGATATTTTATAATTTCAGTCTTTATTGCTATTACTTACGATCAAAAACATTTAAAATCAACTTGTTTATAATCAAATTCCACCATCAAATACAAATATCTAATAATGATATTTAATAGATCAGTTTTCATATTAAACTAAAATTAAATTAATATAATAAACTAGTTTAATGATATGGCAATAAAATAAATTGTTTGTACCAAAAAGTTTTAAYTATATCGTTTTTTTTCTATAAACTAATCTATTAAAAAAAAAATAATAACTAATATTATTTAACTCATTAACTGTACTATTCTAAAAGATCAAACATTATTTAAATAATGAAATACAATTTAAGAGGAAAATATCCATGTGCCTCATATGCATCATATAAAACAATTAGAAATAAAACGAAAGAGATAATTTTAAAAATATAATTATTATTATAAATACATAACATCATGTTAAAGGTTATTTATATATTTATTAATAGAAATGTACTTAAGATTGTTTTACTGTTAACTTGATATACAAGTACAATGATTTTTTTCATTTTACTCTTTTGAGAAATATATAGATATACTATAATTATTATATTCAAACACAGATGGTTACAGTGTTGCACTGGTCAAAACAAAACCGCGAATTCAGGGCTCATAAAATTCAGTTCCATTTATCTCCCTCTATCTCTCATGGGTCACATACTATTTTGAGTAGAATTTGTCTTTATCCTTCGTCTCCGATAAATCACTAAGTTTAGGTTCCAAGTCAACTCCAGCTCTTAGTCACGAGGGAAGAGGGACTAAATAATTCTGAAATAAATCGTGGGTTAACCGATTTTCTCTTCGTGGAATTTTTTTTCTTTACTCTATTTTCAACGAATTGATATGCAAAGAGGCTTCCTTTTGTAAATAAGACCTTTTTAGCTTCAAAACGTATCCGACTGGCCGATATTAGAAACCTATGGCGTGAGAAGGGAAACTAGGAAACGAGATAAAACACTTTTTTGGTTATGCAAACCATTTTCGATTAATTCGTTTGTTTGACACATTTCCGGAGAGAACTTAACCATTAATAATTTATTCTTCAATTTCGTTCTTACGAAAAACAAAAGTTTATTTCAAATTATAATGATATGTGAAGTGTTCTGAGATAAAATAAATTGTAATTTCAGCTCACAATATTATTATCGTCATCATTCATGTTTCCTAAGAATCCACAATTTTTATTCGTCATAGAGTTACTTACTTTACATTTTAGGAAATAAAAATATCCTATAAAAAAATGTCRGCAAATCTTTTTAAGCAATAAATAAAAACAGTTTATGTATTGAACATAACAAATTTTAGGTTTAATTTTTGTTTCCACATTTTCAATTCTAAAATCATAGAATAATAATCAATGAAATCGATACGTTTATTACATAAGTGATAAAAACTATAAAGTATAAGAATAAAAAGGAAATAAGTTGCTTTTAAATATTTATAGGTACGTATTATATTTTAAAAGAATCTTTAGTATAAAGTGGTTTTCAGAGTTTCCTGTGATACCTGTGAATTCTATCGACTCAATGATACAGATTCACACGAAAACAGATTCATATAAATTAAAGTTAAATATAATTCATAGACTTTCCATTTAGGATAAAGAAGAGAGAAGTTTCAACCATGAAACGTTGATTAAAATGGATTTCAAGTACAATTATTGCGAGACGACCAATATAGCAGTGCGCCTGGTATAGAGTTCGAAATCGGTATACGACTATGTGATTAAGCGATCCATAGTAAAAAAAATAAAAATAAAAAGCTCCGTAAACAACCGAGTGTGCCCATAAGTCGCTCAAACGTCGTAAAGGTATTTATACGGTCTCGAGAGAATTGGTCTCGAGTTGATACGAACATTTTGAAAACTATCGTTTGGTACATTTAGTACGAACAGACTTTCGAGTTTCGAGAAATGATTTACTAAGTTTAATATTCACGTAAATCGTAAACGACATCTCGAAATTAAGTGGCATGATTTTAGATAGTACTAGACCCATCGTTTTATTATAATCCAGGACAGTTTAATTTTCAAAAGCGAAGAAAATAATTGTTAAGTGACTGTTTGGTAATTTAATCAATCTTTCGGTATAGTTTTACGATTTGATCAAACATTACCAATAATAATAACATTTTAATGCAAATTGCTTYAGACTTTTTTTATCACAGTTATATTATATATTTCAACAATATTAAGAAAAATATATAATAAAATAAATGTATTTTTAGACTTAAAAACGAACTCATTTTTCACCTCATATTAAAATACATTACATTTTTAAAGAAAATTTACATTTTATCTTCTATTTATTTCAAAAACACTATAAAAATATGTGTAACGATACTATATTTTTTTTATTATACTCAATTTCAGACATTATTACACCCACCGTTTCAAATTATAAATTTAAAATTTAAATAAATCAAATACGTTGTACATTTATATTTTAATATTATTAAATCATATAATATTTTTTGAACTGTACCTAGTAATATTGTTATTGAATATATAAAACGGAACAACGACTATAAATTATTTTCGATAATCTTAACTGCATAATATGCCGACAACGTGAAAAATGTTATACATTACAAACTTTAAAATATAATATATGAATTTCGTTGTTTCATTTGAACGAAAATTSTATTATATTTTATTTATTTCTAACTTTTACTTGATTGCTTACAAAAAATAAAAATATAATTATACACGTTAAACTTTTTGGAAAAGAACTTGGAAAACATATTTATCAATATTTTATGGATATGTAATAACATCAATGGTTTTGTATTCGATCAAGAAACGTTTTTTACGTTACGATTTAAGAGAAAGTTCAAAGTTCACCTATTCATAGTCACGTGTCACGAGACGGAATTTTCTTTTTGCAGTTTTATTTTTCATTTATAGTAATTTACTATACAAAAAACTATATAACACGTTCTCGGGGGAAATTTGTGAAGATAACGAGTTGAAACTTTATATTTATTATTATTATCATTATTATTTTTTTTTTTTAAGTAAYATAATTCTTGAGACATCGGTCGGCAGAAACAGTAGTAGTATCGACAGAACTACATCCCCTTGGTAGTGGTGGTGTTTCGGTGAATCGAAKGTATGCAGCGTGGTTAAATCTATCCGTATATAAAAAAAGAGAGATTAGAGTTATAGAGGAAGATAGAAGAGAGAGATATAGAGAGAAGAACACGAACGAAGTAAAACGATTTTTCGATTTCATCGTTTTAGTAGTCCGTTTATCCGCCGGACATTTTTCAACCAGTTTACCGGTCCCCAACTCCCAAGTGACCGATTTATCTGGATGTCTTTTTAATACGTATAAAGATATATTATACGATCTAATACTGAGCATATGTGCCATAATATGGGTGTTCGACCTATGTATAGTAAATGGTTTTAGCGCGTGAGTAACCATCCGCGCGACAGATCTCACGCCCGTTTGCGAGAGTCCGTTTGTACTTTTGTAGTTGTTGTCGGAGCCACACCGTCGCCGACGCCACCGTCACGAGATGGGCTGGTGTAAAAGTTGTGCACTCGTTTTAAAAGCGCTTGATCGATGAACTTTTTCTATTATAAACGATGAACGGTCAGCAAAACATGTTTGGGGGTGGACGAGGTTGATGCACGCATGTGTGTGTGTGTGTGTGTGTGTGTCCAAACGAGTTTTAAACTGTTATTAAAACTCGCAGGGCACTTCCCAATGCGTTTTATTGAGCTTATAACGTGAAAACTTTCGGACGCACAACCGGAGAAAAGTAATCACCAGAGCATACATATACACTACGCTACAATTTTATACGTTTTTATTTCTTCTTCACGGGAGAAATAAATTATCTAAGACATTAACCGGTCCATCTGTCAGTGCCCGTCGGTTTTTTTTTCATGCTAAAGTATTATGCTAAAAACTACTTGTACTCACCTCCAAGTTGTTAATGAACCAAGTGACCTGTGCTAGGGGAAATGTCATTTTTGCTGTACAGTTGGCTTCCAAGAATTCACCTACTGAGTATAATGGCCGGAGTCCTTCTATCCTCGGACCATCATCAGGAAATGCTATATTTGAAACATAACAGATAAAAATTATTCCAACATGTCCCATCAGTAGGATTAATTGCTGCGATAAGAGTATATACGATAAAAATGTATTTTTTTGAACCTGACCTATTGTTATTCTGACAGCGAATTAATAATTCAAATATTTTCCCCAACAATACATTAGATCACTACTTCAATATTATATTTGTGTTTTTATGTTATGAATAACAATGATGGTGTGGCTTGGCTGCCTTGGCTGCTAACAATCACGAAATGTGACTGGGAGTAAGTTACGCCAAAGCTACTAGCTCCCGGATGGGTGACCACCCGGGTTTGTAGTAGTTAAAAAACCTTGCCACACATACACGTGTTTGCTCTACCGTAACAATCGTAAAAACAACTTACCGAATCAAAAACCTTACCCCTACCACAGTCCATAACCCCTGCAACAGCTAATAGCCTTAGTCGCCGGGCTTAAGATCTTAGACCAATAATAATAATAAAAAAAAAAAAACAATGATGGATATTGACATTTATATTGGCAATAACAATTATTTTGAAAATTTACCTGCTGAAAAACTCGATATTGTTTTTTTATTTAGATTATGGCCATAACAATTTAAATATAAAATAGGTTTGTGATTTTATGAAAAATATATAATAGTGTAATTTTTCAATTCATAGATATTAGATAAAAAAAATTAAAATTAGATTTGTATAACGATTAATTATTATTTTTGTACTGTGTATAKAATACTATTTACTATCCTTATTGTTCTACTTTTATAGATAACGAGTGCAATAAAGAACTGTCGAATAACGATACCCAATCGGAGTAAACATCATGTGAAAAATTACAACTTTATTTTTATTAATTAATGCATTTATTGAGATTGAAAACTTTAGTTGATGTGATGAAATAAAATAATTGGATACAAGTAACGTTGGCATTTAATGTATTATATTTCAACAAATAATCACAAATATTGAACGCCAATAGACTATGGATAAAATGTGATGCATTGACTGGAAGAATGGGACTGCATAGAATGGTTTCCTAACGTTCCGGTAACGATACCTTATCATAAATATCAGTAAAACCATGTAAATGGTTTAGTATTTACTATTTACACTATTGTCAGCACAAAGCTCAGAAGATAACCGTTGAAATATTTATGCTGAAACTTAATCTGAACATAATGTTAAGATAAATCACTCTTAAATACCTACTGGTTCAGAAAAAAAAAAAAAAAAAATTAAATAAAACTAACAAATTTAAAACCACAGAGATAATAATATATACTTATTTATATTTTAATACAATATACATAAGTAACATACATTACACGGGGAAACGTATATGTACAATGTACATTGATTTATTTTGGGATAGTTGTGACGTAAAGTGTAAGCTTTTTATTCAAAATTTGTATGCATTGAATTCATTTAATTCATATCACGAACAACTTTTGAAGTTTACTCAAGGGAAATATGAATTTCAGCATTCAATATTTAGTTCGTATTGTCTTTGAATATCAATTATGTAAATAAAAATAAAATTGTTATACCTAATATTATTTTATGTTATAATTTATTAGACAGTATATTAATATGAATATTTTTAGTTTTGGGAGAACAAACTGTTTGTACCGCTTAATTAAAAAATATATGTACATGAATATGGTGTTTAAATAATTTTAAAGTTATTTCTCACCGATGACTGACATATTGGCGTCTTCAACAACCGTTGGGAAATTTGGAGCATCCGTAGATACTTCACACTTGTAATTGCCGTTGCTCGTCCTGGTCAACGGATACAGAGTCACTTCACTAGCAGATGACTTACTCTCCTAGTGGATAATAACAACAATAATTAAAATCTAAATATCTACCCGAAAATGTGAATGCGATGAAGATTAAATTGTDTACTATAGTTTGAAAATAATTAATATTATCGTATGTAAATACAGTAATTATAGTTTTGAACACAATKAAATACTTGATATAGATACTTGATGTTACCAAAATATTATATTTATACATTAATGTCTTTATTATCACAATACACATAATATAGCTAAGTACATTTAGATGTTCTATAGTTCATTTAATAATAAAATCTGCAGTATCTATAGTTTTATGAAACACTAAAATAAATATATTTGTTTTAGGTTTTAGCTAACCTATAGTATAATATTGTAATAATTTTTAACTATAAGTGTAAGATTTAATAAAATAAACAATGCGTTAAAAATTAATTTTTTTTTTATAAAATACCTATTGAACAATTGTCTTTAATATTGTGTAATTTTGATTATTTTAAATCGCGATAGAAGAACATTAACATAATTAATGTCAAAGTATTCACTCTGTAAGAATCAAAAATAATATAAATCAAACATAAAACTAAAATTATACGGTATTACGACGTTGAATTGTTATGACGTTGTAAAACAACTGTGCTGGCGACGGCTACGACTACAGCGATGGTATAGGCGCTGTAAATTGCTCTACCTCGGGAGGGGATCTTAAGTCCCGCATATGAATACGAAATAAACTACGATATTGTACAACAGTGCCTCAGTGTCGTTTGTATATTCTATTGTTTATGTGAAGGGTAGGGTGTGGGGGAAAKAGAGAATACATGGCGGACGGGTGTCCTTTATTTCGTTGGATTTTTATTCGGGCGTTCCGTGTAAAAACGGCTGCCTAGCCGATATAAAGTATGAGATACAAATTCACCGGGTTATGTGATAATGTTTTCGCGGTTCTTATGTAGGTCAATGAGTCGAAAACTTTCACCACAAATTTTCATGAAAATATATTATATACGTACATGATATTCGCTGCAGGATTACACRACGTTTCGTTGTTTCATCTCGGTGTTTAAGCGTCTCYACCTGCTCAACGCCACCGTCCCTATCTCTCGCGCTTACCTAACCTAACTTAACCACGTTCCATTCAGCGGCGTCGGCGGCGGGCGGTGACAAACTCTCCCATCCCCGTAGCCTAAGAAAGTTTTGGCCGTAATTTTTAAGCCGCCGCCACCCCACGCGGAGTACACGCGRCGTGCGATAAAATAATTTACCGCCCGAAAAGAAAAGAAATGAAATAACAAAAAAAAAAAAAACTAAGAAGAAGACGAAAACCGACGAAAAACGKCAACTTGGWGACAAMATTKTGTACTCACGTCCACGTTTACGCCGTCCACGTCGAACACAAGCGTCTGTGGATTCAATCCRGGCGTGTATCGGAAGAATTCGTGATCGTCCTTGTACCATTTCACTGAGTACAGACTGTCACCGCCCGTGTCAAACTGGCAATAAAGCGTCACCGAACTCCTCAAGTCTGCCCACTGAGGTATGACTAATTTTGACAATATGAGACCACCTTTATTACTACCTGCGAAAACAAATAAGGGCATCGGGAAATTAAAATTAATAGTCTATAACGAAAATGAACAAATTACAAATTCGTTTTAACAATAATAATAATAATTATACTATTATTATAATAGAATATTAATAACTTTTTATCACAAAAGTTTCAGCTACAACTACTAGACGGCGTGACGACAACCTCGCTCTGGTTCAAAACTCGTACGATGTAAAAACTACGACATAGTCTAAAAGCTCAGTTCAATAGTTGCCCAATAGTACTCTGCCATTGTTACATTGTGAGTCACGTCTGGTAACGAGTATTTAATTTATACTTTTTGMACCATAGGTACACAAATTATATTATCATTGTACTTCGACGTTTTCTATAATATGGGTACATAATACACGATGGTCACTATGGAACGGGATCACGTGCAGTTACCACGTTCACAATCTCAAAAATTATCGGGCTAATGTTATTAATTTGACGATCATTGTTTTGTAAAGGGTCTTCAATTATTATTATTTGTTTATATAAAGTTAAATACAAGTTGATCGCTTTTTGGTTAATATTAAATTTATTGTCTGTATTTTACTCTTCCAGTAACCTTTTTTCTCGGAATTATTATTTTTTATTTTTTTTTATCAATGTTTCCATTTCAGAATACCAAATAGGCAATATATATAGTAATATAATTGTATGATATTTGTTTTTTTTAGTAAGTTACCACATTCTTCTCAACTTCAATTTTTTTAAACTATTACACTATGCTATGAAAAATCTAGAAACAGGTGGCTGTAAAATGTATCAATGGAAACTTGATATAGAATTGATTAAAAAATGTATTTAAAATCGAATATTTTAGTGACCACGTTAAAATTATATTTTCATACGTGTTGCTTACTTTATGAACATATTTAATCGTATTTTGTTATTATAGTTTCAGAATATTTTTAACTGAGTTATGGCCTGTGAATAATCCATTCWCTTATTAATTATTCATGACGAAGTGCTGAATTAAAGGATTACGTACAATATAGGCAAATCCTCTACAACCTTTTATCTTAAATTTAAGTTAAATATTTTATAGATTTTTATTTTTTGTTGATCATGTCACTAACAGTGGTACCTCTATACACAACATAATCGTAAGCTACATTAAAGCTTTAACGCTTTCCAGATTAAGCAATTTGAAATTATAAAAAAATCATCATAAAARTAATAATATTAAATTTGTTATTCAATGGATATATTAAAATTATGATACAGTTAGAATTGTTTGCTCATATTTTAATTAGGTATTTATTAAACTAACCTATTMATTAAGAAATTTGTATTGCTAATGAAAACTCCAGAATTAATTATTCTCAAACAAATTTKTCAACATTTTTAATATGAAATTTATGATAACATTTATAAAATTTAAATTTAAAAATAAAATAAAATAATGATATATTTATTGGTAACACAACCCTATTTATTTAAATAATATAAAAAATGTCATACCTATTTAGTAACTTTATCYAACAAAACATTTTTGACAATTTTGTAATATCGATAAATCAATTAATTTACGATGATTAATAAACAATCGTTAATGTGAACACAACAAGACATAACAAATAGAAMAAATAAGTAGTATATCGACATTATGAAAACGCATAGATCAGCATAATATTGTCAAATTGATTCACTACCTTATAGGCATGCTGGAAACACGAACGTTACCAATMTCTTGGATCTGAGTGAAAAGTGTACAAGAAGTCCAGGAGGGGGGGCGTTATATCTTTATTTATTTATTCACTATAATTYATTATCTATTAAGATCTTAGGGATATATTGTTATTTTAAATTATAACAACAATATCATGCAGAATGTAACTTAAATKYKGACGTTATTTTACGTCATCATTATTAACGAAATACTATAGTATTGAAAAAATAGTGCAAAATATATTATATAAGAATGCGAAGGAAGTTTTGCAAAAAAAGAAAAAGAAATTAAAAATTATAATTCACGTAAAATAAATAATTTTTAATTTTTAATAAACAAATGAAAAGATAGTCGAAATTAGTGAAAATGTTCTTAAAATTCATCAATTAATATATGTGATACGCGCCACGCTTCAKAGTTATGTAGTTTACACTTCAAGTTGGTACGTTTTTTACTCAAAATTACTGCTCCACGTACACTAAAGAATTTAGAAACAACTTCTTTGTGTCCAAAATATTCAAATACTTGTTACTGTAATCTAAATAACTATGTACTATAAGTCATTTCAAAAAMTTATACATCAGCACAAACTCATGAATTACAAATTAAAATTAATCTAAAAGCTCAAAGTACCTATCTGTAAGATTAAATTATATTTCTTTAAGAAAAAAAAATCCTGTTCTAAAAGTTTCTTACTTTAATATATTTCACAATTGCGTATACGATCCATTAATAATTTCAAATAATTTCAAATTAACCAAAACCCATTAAGATTGAATACAAAAGTTATATAGACAGTGAAAAGGATAAAGGATGTTTGATGCTTTAGGTGTATTATGATTTTGAAACAAGTTGTATTACGATCATAAGCAGAGAAAAGCACTATACTTTGTTATCCTTTCTGGTTAAAATTAATGAGAAACTAAATAAATTTAAGTCACATTATTGATTGGTTAAGATTAACAAATTATCATCATGTTCATTAACTTCAATGTACAATAAATAMATTTATTTTTAATAATCGATATACATACCTATTCTGACTGATTTGATATAACATTCATGTATTATTACTGAGAATTCAGGTAAACATACTGGCCGATTTTACAGTGAACAATCAACGAAAAATGGAAAAACAACAATGGATATGGTAATTTTTACGTTTGCACTACCACGAAACTCTACTGGAAATTCCGACCATCCCACTATAAATCATTCTATCTAGATTCTAATTGAGAGGAAYCTCGAATAGGAAATGWTGTTGTTGGCCTTCTGCGTCGTCATTCCACCACTTCCGGTCTCACTAGCCGTAGTTTTCCGTCACTCGTACCGAACRAAATGCACACCACCCACCCACGTATACATATATGTAAATATTAATATTTTAGCTATAACTCTATGAGATGTTGAATTAAATATGCAATTATGCGTTAAACCTATTYGCGGCTGATTTTTGGAATACAATTCGTAAATTATTGCATTAAAATCGTGAATTTTCCGAATTGAACGTAATGCGTATTGTCGGTTTTTATTTCGTATACCTAGCGTTGAATGTCRCTTTGGGGTCGATGGCATTTTTAAAAATGCAAATAGTGTATCGTGTTTAAATTTAATCCACTTATGTATTTTTTAGAACATTGTCTGTAAGTGAAGTAGATTTRGATTTAAATAGTGGTAAAGTCAAATTAATATTACTCGGCGCCATGACATCGGGTCAGCAGCGTCAATAATGGAAATAATTGATTCAATGATACCGTCACGGTCGTTTCTATGCGTTTCAATGGTAGAGGGAACATTGTGCCCAATAAACTCCGTTAGCCTATTAAAAACGCTCAAGTGCACTTAAGTTACCCTTTGTAATTACGATGGAATAATGCGCGTCGTAGAAAAAAAGGACTATATTGAAATTCAAAGCACATACGAAATGTTTATTGCTCAAACGCGAGTATGTGGAAACCCGTGGGACACTACAATATACAATACTGTACACTTGGAGGAATGTTGGATGAGAAAGATAGAAAAAAACATTCCCTGTGTGACTCTCCGACCCCCGAACAACGATGTGTGCTCTGAGCTTCGTAAACAGCTGTGTAAGAAAAATCGACTAACTCTTTTTTTTTCGTCTTATTTTTGCTCTATACTGCATCGCTGCTATGACGATACAGTCTCGCCGATAAAACTAAATCAAAAAGATTATATCGACTTGGGAAAAATAAAAGTTTCATAAGGACCCTCGTGGGAACGTTATCCCGTTGTCCTGCGGTTGCAAAGGAACATTTCGGTGCCTTTCGCGTTATTATTCTTTGTCAGAGAAATCCTTTTACGTTTTATTGCCTTAACCACAGCAGGCTCTTACGCTACTTTTAAATGGATTGCAATCTTTTAAAATAAAACAATAAGTCATCGGAGGTGAACCAATTAAAGGTGAGATCGCTAAATTATTACTCGTTTATGGCTTATGGAGTTCGTCGTTTTTATACCAGATACCTTGTGATTTAAATTGTTAGTGACTTCCGCGACCGGTTCACTGATGATTATTTATACGATTTGAATTATTTTGTTACAAATGTGTGAATGCACATTTTGATCCCATGTTGAGACTCGATTTCTAAACGGTCAGCTGATGCCACAGGGTTTGATTGAATTAATAATAGTTTACAACGCCAGATTAGTTGGCACAAAAGCCAAGGACTGGAAGTGGGTGCATTTAAACTTTCGATGGCGAAAGAGTAGGTGTACGGGGTCGACTAACACCAATATATCCCATTAAACTTACTACTTTCTATAGTCAGGTCTGCAATTAGCTAGTTAAAACTGATGATCCAGCTGCTTCAGTATTAACTCAGCCACATTAATTACCGGCCAGGGCTCTAGCGCCTGACAATGAACGGATATATTATCAAAGCTTAATGGTTTCTAAAATTAGAAAGGACAGACAAACTTTGTCAGGTAAGTTTCAAGTTGGAAGTCAAAAGGGGACCTGCAAAACGAATGGTTTTGTTTGGCCTCACTAAGCTCGTATGCATATACATCGTACCAAATCATCGACAACTGTTGCTAGTAAGTCTCAGGTAATGTATATTACGTATTAATAGAACAGCTAAGGCCGATTGGAAACAATAGACTCAAGGGAATGGCTCATATAAATAATTAATACTATTGAATATACACTATCAAACATCTGACTTAACTACGGTAGTTTATTATTAGATTTATTGATCATAGCTTCTGAGATAAAAGTATAATATCATTATGTTAGGAATTTTATCTTCAATAAAATATTTTATTCTGCCAAGTGTAAAATAAA